ACCAGCACTGAGATGCTTCTACCGCCACTGGATCCACAAGACTTTCCACCCACTGGCCTGTGATTTTCCTGCATACGGCATCATTGCATGTGTTGTGTGTGTCTGCAGAGGACTTTATGGATTGGTATCAGACATATGGGCTAATATCAGACTTATGGACTTGATCTGGACTGGGCTGGGATGTTTTCTCATTATTCAATTGCTTTTTTTATATAAAACTCTTTCTTATACACATTTGAGTGACTGAATTTGTTTCTCTTGTCAACCCGGATGAACACAATGTTTTTAATAACTTATTTAAAATGTATGAGTTAAGGATTTTAATCATATACTACTCAAAGTCAATTGGCAGGACATAGTTCATAAAAATGATGTTCTACATCCTACTTTTTGATCAGAAACTAGGATTTTAAAAGCTAGTAAGCAGACATCTAAGGTGCAATTCTTGGTCTCTCTCTGTCCAGAGGAAAGAAGAGTGAAGTAAATCAAAAGACACATGGAAACAGTTTAACACAGGCATCCTCCAACTATAGCCCGCGGGCCACATGCAGCCCACCGAGGACATTTATCTGGCCCACTGGGTGTTTTTGCCCCATTTGTATTTTTACTTCAAAATAAGATATGTGCAGTGTGCATAGGAATTTGTTCATAGTTCTTTTTTAAAAAACTATAGTCGGGCCCTCCAACAGCTCTGAGGGACAGTGAGCTGGCCCCCTGTTTAAAAAGTTTGAGGACCCCTGGTTTAACTAACTAATGGATCATGTAACCCTAAGTCTCCATGACCTTGAGACCAGAACTAGATGGTGCCCAGCTATGACTACCTCTGAGAAGGGTCATATTAGGTCCTGGATAGAGTAGGAGAAAAATGTTGAGCAAAATCTAAAATCATGAATGAGACCAAGCTTCCAGGTTGGCTAGAGACTGGTGAAAGCCCCAAGACTCTAGCCCTCACTCACCCTTCAGATCTGGAAGTGAACTCACCCCCATCTTAGAATCATCCAACACTGAGGATCGAAAGGGCAGCACTTATCCAGGGACAGATTCGGAAGGTTCAGGAAGCAAGCGGAATGGAAGCAGGAACCACAGGGAGGAGGCTGGAGAAGCTAAGGGGCATTGAGGGGTGGCCGTGAATGAGTCCAGTCAGAATGCGTATGGACTGCTACGTGATTGCATGCTGCATTAGTGTGCTTGCCAATGGGTAGAAAGCCGTCTCCAAAAACACTTCGTAGTTGAAGACCGGAAGAACTGCACGACAGTAAGTTTCTTCATGTGACAGGAGCAACTCTTCCACCAGACGCTGACCAGAGGCGAAGGCTGGGTGCTCTGTGCTCTGTGCCGGTGTGGCTGCTGCTGGTGTGCTTCTCCAGACACAGCCCTTCTGTGCCTTCCGGAAGGTGCCAGGGGACAGATGCCTGGGGCACTGCAGCCCTAGCAAGGATGTCTCTCCCTAATTATGCAACTGGGGGAACTTGAGTTTAAATTTGTCACGCTCTTCGGTCAGTTTGTAATGTAGAATTCCCCAAGCAGGGGCAGCAAATGAATATGAGTACTGTATTTGCAGATGCTCACAGAACCATAATTAGATTCTACAGCCAGTTAACTGGCATTCTACGTTCTCAAAAAGTATTCAGCAGTGAGTGGTTTGCATAAAATATTCATCATTGAATGATTTACATAAAATATTCATCATTGAATGATGTACAGAAAAACAGAAGAATGTAGTTTTTCTTTAAGAACAAGTGTAAAAGGTTGTTGCAAATGTTTGGGTCTGGGTTTGTTTTATGGTATGCCTGCTTTTTTTTTTTTTTTCATTTCTAGGCAATGGCTCAAGTCTGATGACATTCAGAGGATCACACTGTTTTTCTATAACAAGATACTCGAAAAAGAAGTAAGCGATTTCTTCTTCGAAGCCCTTTTTTTTTTTCCTGACATGCTGAATTTTTAAAATTCCTTCATGAAATGTATTTCATGTTTCTTGGTTGTTTGTTGGGTGGGTGGTTGTTGGGTGGTTGGTTGGATGGTTCATTATTAGTTGGTTGGAGGGCTGGTTATTGGTTGGTTGGTTGGGTGTGTGGTTGGTTGGAGGGTTGTTTGGTTATTGGTTGGTTGGATGGTTGGTGGTTAGTTTACTGGCTGGTGGTTGGGTGGTTGGTTGGACTGCTGGTTGGTTATTGGTTGGTGTGGGTTGGGTTTTCCAGATGCCTCTTGAGTATACCCAAACCCCTTCAAGCTTTGCTTGGAGTTTTCTAGACCTGGCCGTCTTGTCATTTCTCTCAGAGTTGGTTGCCGTGTCAGGCCAGCCATCACACTTCTGACCGTAAGCATGGGTGGCTCATTGTGCACCGAGGGGAAGTTCTGCCAGGTCAATATGACAGCTTCTTAGGAAATGCCTTAAAAGAAAATGAAATCCTTCCTGATACAATTACAATGCCTGTCCACTGCCAGCTTTTAAAAAATCTGAAGTTTACATTTTCAAACTTGTTTGGGGCAATTAAAAAACCCAAACGTTGATGTATTGTTGGATTGTAATGCTCTCACTGTAGTATTCCTGAAGTAAGGACTACCCGAGGCACAAAGAAAGCAGAAGACACTGAGTATTGACATGCAAGCTTAAGCTGGATTTGCTCAAGTGAATTAAGCAACTGTTGTAGAAAGGAGAGCAGGTCTTCTAGCCCAACCTTATCTCACTAGCCTTTAGTTTTGTAATAATCGGAAAAGGCACAGGAGTTGGAGACAATTTTCACCCGCCAAACAATCAATGATAGGCTAAGATTGAACAAAAGTGACTGTCTCCCTGGCAGTGGCCACAGCACTGGTATTGAAATGCAGTTGAGAAAATTCAGTTCATTGTTGTAAGGAGATTGCATGGAAATAGCACAATACCTTCCATGGTTCAGGGGTACTGGGTTTTAGAGCTACACCGAGACCGTCTTTTGTGCTCGGAGTCTATAAGGTCCGTTGTCTGCTGTGCATCAAGGACCGTGGCAGATGACGTCTCAAGTCTGTGTGTCATATCGTTCATTCCATCGCCTCCTTCCTTATCCTTGAATCACTTTCACAAGTGCAAACTACTACTTCCTGTCTCCATGGTAGGTCCCTTCCTTCTTCCAGTGTCTGTTTTGCTGTTGAAACCACAGCCCCATTGCCCCTCATATCTCTGCACCACACCCTGGAGAGGGTACCCAGGTGGGGAGTTAAGCAGATTGGCAGAAGATATGCCACCACAAGATGGCAGCATTGGAAACCCTTCGGGGTGGTTCGACTCCACCCTAGAGACTGACTGAGTTGGAATCCACGCTGCAGCCATGGGTTTGTGCCTGCACCTGCCTTCCTTGGGGAGCCTCATGGGTGGCTTCTTTCTCCCCTCAGTACCGAGCCACAGCCCTGCCAGCCTTCAAGTACTACGTGACCTGTGCCTGCCTCATCTTCTTCTGCATCTTCCTCGTGCAGATCCTCGTACTGCCAAAGTAAGTGTGCCCGGGGTCCATGGAGACCCTGCTGCCTGTCGGGATGGGACTGACGGGTGCCTGGGAAGCAAAGTCCCCAACTGAAGGATTACCCAGTGTGTCTCCGGGAGGCTAAGTCATGTTCCAGAGAGGTAAGAGGCTTGGCAGCAGCAGCACTGGGCTTTCACAGTGGACATGTGGATTCCCCTCTGGGCATATTGGGGAACCAGTGATAATAAGGAAGTGTGTTCTAATCCTGCATCTGTGGCATTCGGTCCCCTGACCTTCAGGGAAAGAGCAGACTCACAGAGGTTGTTTCGTGCAGACAGGTCTGTGGCTTGAAGTTCTCAGTGGTGACCTCTGACTCATAAGACCATCTGCCCCACAGGACACAGGGTGACCCTGCAGGTGACTGAGTGGGACTGTGCTCCACAGGGAGTCCAGTGGCTGGTTTCCTGGACATCGATCCCAAGTCAAGAACCAAACCTGTCACTGTCCAGCTGATTCAAAAACATGGCGACTTTATGTAGGCTTTCAGAGGCTGTGAATCTTTAGAGAAGCAGACAGCCTCATCTGTGAGCAGCTGGGGGCTTTGAACCACTAACCTGTGGCTAGCAGCCCAGTATTTACCTGACAGTGGGAGTAGATTCCCCAGGGCTTCTTCCCCGGGAACTCTGGATGGACTTGACCTTCGAACCTTTCTGTTTCCGGTCGAGCTATTTTTCCCTGTTGAACAGAAAGTTGCATTGTGAGCATGAACCTGGGGAAGCTCCAGCTGTCGGGCGCTCAGAGTCCATGTCAGCCTCCTCCAATCAGGAGATGGGGCTTCACCGTCTGCGTCCTCCCTGCCCGCCTCCTCGCTCCTGCTTCACTGGTCTCCCTCCAGTTGTCCTCACTTGTGCTTCCTCTGCTCTTTCTCTGGCAGTGACTGTTGCTGGGGAACAGTTCAGACACAGAAAAGTACAGGGTCACACAGCATGCACGTGTGCCCACAGTACAGACCTCACAAGATGAACGCCACGCTGTATTCACTACAGCTGGGTCTCTGTGCCTCAGCCCCATCCGCCCTTCCGTCCACTCTCCGCAAACAGCATCTGCTTGGCTTTGGCTGTTTGGAAATGTTGCGATCTCATATTTTGCTGCATGTTGTTGTCACCATTGTTGAGTGCTGTCAAATAGGTCCCCACCCACAGCCACCTTGTGCACAAGAGAATAAAAGCCCACCCCGCTCTGCGCCACCCTCGCAGCCATCATGTTTGAGCCCGCTGCCGCGCATCCACCAGTCCTCTTCAAAGCCTTGCTCTTGCGCTGCCCTTCGCCAAGCACGGTGTCCTTCTCCAGGGGCTGGTCTCTCCTGGCAACATGCCCAAAGTCTGTGAAACAAAGTCTCGCCAGCCTGGCCCCTCAGGAGCACTCTGGCTGTGCTTCCTCCAGGAAAGACTGGCTTCTCTTGCATTTTATGCTGCTTCCAGTGGGTTTCACCAGCGCCGTAGGTCAGATGCATTGATTTTCTTTGGTCTTCCACAGTCAGTGCCCAGCGTTCACATATGAGACATATGGGGCAATTGAAAACACCATGGTCAGGCACACCTTAGTCCTCAAAGTCACATCCTTGCTTTTCAATACTTTAAAGAGGTCTTGTGCATCAGATTTACCCAATGCTATGTGTTATTTGGGCTCTTGACGGCTGCTTCCATGAGCAGTGATTGTGGATCCAAGCAAGACAAAAGCCTTGAGCACTTCAGTCTTTTCTCCATGTTTCATGATGTCGTCACCGCTTGGTCCAATTGTGAGGATTTGGGTTTGGTTTTGGTTTTTTCCACTGATTTGTAATCCATACTAGACTCTGTGCTTCTTGATCTTCGTCAGCAAGTGCTTTAAGTCCTGTAACAATATGCCTGATTAAAGTGCCAACAGCAAGAATGATCACTGAAGAGCGTCATTTTTCCTGCCTCATGTCAAGTGCGCTCTTAGTGTGTGCATAAATCAATTATGCTTGTCTTTAAAAAAAATGAAGAAAAAACAGCTTTGCAACAAGATGTTAATTAAAATTGATTAATTTACACAAACATCTTGGTGTGCTTAGTGAGCCTGAACATGTCTTTGTTAGAACAAGTAGGATAAATAGTTATAATTAAGGGCTTTTGACCAGCCACAGTCATGCCACCTGGTATTCCTTGTTCTCAAGCTTAATGGGTGAGAGAGGTGTCCATTCACACAAGCGGCCCCCACGTGCCATGGACCCAATCACGTCCACCCTCCAGAGAGTCAGCAGGAGTTGGAGCCTTTGGGTCCGAGTGTCAGATCTTAGCACCCTTTCCATACACAAGAACGTGTAAGCAACAAATGTGTGTCGAGGGTGTTGTTAGGTGCCGCCGAGTCTATTCTGACGTACAGTGATGCGATGCGGAACAGAATAGAGCTCCCCAGCCCTGTGCCATCGCCCTGGTTGTCATTGTATCAGAGCCCATTGTCGCAGCCGCTGGGTCAATCCAGCCCCACGATGGCCTCCTTCGCTTTCACTGAGCCCCTGCTTCAGCAAGCACAACGCTCTTCTTATCTCCTGCTAACGTGCCCGAAGTGCACAAGATGAACTCCTGCCATCTTCACACATTCTGGCTGTGCTTATGCCCACGCAGAGCTGCTCCTCCGCCTGGAAGTCCATGGTATTTCCAGGGCTTTTCACCAGCATGCACAGGCATCCGCTCCTCTCTGTCCTCCTTATTCCGTGCCCAGCTTCCTCGTGCACGTGAAACAATGGAACGAGTGCAGCAAAGAGGCTGTGTGGCTGATAGGGGGCGTCAAGTCAGTTCTGCCCCATAGTGACACCGTGCACTGCAGAACAAAACTGCCCAGTCTTGCGCCAGCCTCACAACTGTCCCTGTGCCTGCGCCCATGGCTGCAGCCACTGGGTCCGTCCATCTCTGTGAGGGCCTGGCTCTGGGTCACTGTCCTTCTACTTTACCTTTCCCTCCTTGGCGGTCCCTCCACTTTCCCTGGCAAGATGTCCTTCTCCAGGGAATGATCTCTCCTGACCACACGTCCAAAGTATGTAAGACTAAGTCTTATCATTCTTGCCTCTAAGGAGCGCTCTGGGCATCTGAGTTCGTTTATTGTGCCAACCTGGCCGATAAACACATGTGGGGTTAATTGAAGGGCAGAGAGATAAATAGCTCCATGAGCCTTGCCTTTCTAGTTCTTGGGTCTCTTGCTTTATGATTGTCGGATCAGGGTGCAGGTGGCTTAGTCAGTTCCCTGTTTTACCTAGCAAGGCTCACTTCCTGCAAGACATCCCTGAGGAAGAGCCACATGGACCTACCCTGATGCAGCCCTGGGTGCTGGAGCACCCGTGTGGAGACCCCTGCCAGCTCTGAGATGCTTACACGTTCACTGACTCAGCCTTCCTCCTGCAGTCAGCACCATTGTGTCTGTTTTGTGAGATGGAGGAGGACTTTGTGGATTGGTGTTGGACATATGGGTTAATGTTGGACTTGTGGGTTTGGGCAGCACTGGGTTGGGATGTTTTCTTGATGTGCTCTTAACCTTTATATAAAACTCTCTCTTATACATGAGTTTCTATGGATTTGTTTCTCTAAAGTACCCAGAGTAGTGCAGCATCCTTCTTCCAAGACAGATCACCCTGTCCTTTCAGCAGTGCATGGGACTTTCCTTCGTCTTCTCCAGCCCCACAACTCGAATGCATTGGTTCTTTTTCAATCTTCTTTATTCAATGTCCAACTCTCATATGTGTATGAGGCGATTGGAAAGACCATGGCTTGGGTCAAGCACACCTGAGTCCTCAAAGTAGTGCCCTTGCTCTTTTATACTCCAAAGAGGTCTTGTGCAGTAGATTTACCTGAGGCAACCTGTCTTTTTTCTTTTTAACAATACATTTTAGTTAACCTAACAGATCTGAACTATCAGGAGCTCAACAAGTAATATCTTTAGAATTATGAGATCATTTACATGTTGTTTTTTTATAAATCATTTTATTGAAGCCTCTTACAGTTCTTGGAATGATCTATACATCAATTGCATCAAGCACATTTGTACCGATGTTGCCATCATCATTTCCAAAATATTTTCTTTCCACTTGAGCCCTTGGTATCAGCTCCTCTTTTTGCCCTCCCTCCCCACTCCTCCCATCCTTGAGAATCCTTGATAAATTATAAATTATTGTTATTTTTGTATCTTGCACCATCTGCTGTCTTCCTTCACCCACGTTTCTGTTGTTTGTCCCCCTCGGGAGGGGGTGGTGGAGGATGGGTATACATTGACCCTTGTGATTGGTTTCCCCTATCTCCCCTTTCACCCTCATGGTTTTGCTACTCCCATTACTGTTCATGAGGGTTTATCTGTCCAGGATTCCATGTCAAGAGCTCTTATCTGTCCCAGTGTACATGCTCCAGTCTAGCTGGGTTTGTAGGGTAGAACTGTGGTCATAATAGTGGGGATGGTGGAGGGGAGGAAGAACTAAGGAACTAGAGGAGTGTTGGTGCTACACTGCACCCTGGCTGACTCATCCCATCCTTGTGACCTTTCTCTGAGGGAAGGTCCATTAGTCTACAGATGGGCTTTGGGTCTCCACTCCCACTCCACTCTTTCGCATCAGTATGATGGTTTGGTGTCTTCTGATACCTGATACCTGATCTTATGGACAACTCATGTTCACACAGACTGGTGTGCTACTTCCATGTGGGCTTTGTTGCTTCCCTGCTAGATGGCCACTTGTTTAACTTCAGTCCTTTAAGACCTCAGATACTATATCTTTTAATAGGCAGGCACCATCAGCCTTCTTCATCACATTTGCTTATACACCCATTTTGTCTTCAGTGATCCTGTTGGGCAGGTGAGCATCACAGAATGCCAGGTTATTAGACCAAAGTGTTCTTGCGTTGAGGGTATACTTGAGTAGAAGTCCAATGTCCGCCTGCTTCTTTAATACTTAACATATAAACATATGTACATAGGCCTATTCATATATCAATAATTATATTAATATATTTACATATGTACATGCC